ATCTGCAGCCAAAACAAAGAGAGTCGGGGACAGGGGGTCTCCCTGCCTGAGGCCTCGCGAGGAGGGGAAGAAACCGCCCAAGTCCCCATTCACAAGAATCGAGTACCAAGCATGCTCGACACAATTCATAATCAAGGTGATAAAATGAGGCGGGAAACCGAACCTGGTAAGGGCATGTCGCAAGAACCGCCACGATACCCGATCGTATGCCTTATTCAAATCCAGTTTCAGCAGCAAATTGTGCGAGTCCCCCCTCAAATTGAGATCATGTACCATTTCCGATGCCAGCAAAATATTGTCTGCAATTGCCCGACCTTTGACAAAACCACTCTGGTGTGGCGACAGAAGCTGCGGCAGTAGCGGACCAAGTCGCACAGTGAGTAACTTCGTGAAGATCTTAGAACTCACATTACAGAGGCTGATAGGCCGAAAATCAGCCCAAGCGACTGGCCCGTCCGTCTTGGGGATAAGCACAAGTGTCGTTGCCGTATAGAACTTCAGAAGAGGAGCTCCCGAGAAGAAATCCAGAACAGCATCGAAAACATCCTCGTGAATAATATCCCAACACGTTTGATAGAAAGCGGCGGAAAAGCCATCAGGGCCAGCCACACTGTCCTTGTCAATCGAGAAAACCACAGCACGAACCTCCGCAAGTGTTGGGGGTTCCAGCAACCGAGCACATTCAGTCAAAGGAACCTGAGGCGGAGGGTCCGCCAGTGCATCCATCCCCGAGGTGTCTGCATCGTCAGGCTGACCAAACATCTCGGAGAAGTAGGTAATAGCTGACTGCTTAATGGCTGAGTGATCAGTGAGGGTACGAGCACCGTCCCTCATCGAGAAAAGCGTAGCCCGCCGACGCCGTTCCTTCACCATGGAGTGGAACATTCTGGAGTTTCGCTCTCCCTCAACTGCCCAACGACATGCTGCTTTTGTTTCCAGAAGGCCTCCTCAAGAGAAATCGCATGTGTCAAGGCTGCTGCGCTCCGTTGACGACGGAGGAGGTTGGCGTCAGAGGGATCCCGATCGAAATCCGCTTCGCACTCCTCAGCATCTTTTCTGCTGCTGCTGCAAGTACCTGAAACACATTACCAAATACCTGTTTGTTCCACCACTTCAGAGCCTGCTTGAGGCGTCCGAGTTTCAATCGCAGGTTGAGGAGACCGGTGGTGCCCGTCGGGACAGCCCAACTCTGGCGGACTTGGTCCTGAAAAGAGTGGTGTCTAGTCCACATGTTCTGAAACCGGAATGCAGAGGCTAGGCGGTGCCGTTCATGCGAGAAACGGACCAAGAGCGGGGCGTGGTCCGAATGCATCCGCGGTAAGTGCCTGACTCGAGTTGTCTCCGCAAAATCCTCCCAGGCAGAGCTGTAAAGAATGCGATCAAGGCGCTCCCAAACCCGCCGATTGGTCCATGTGTGCGGGGGGCCCTCGAAACCAGCATCAATGAGGTTCGCATCGAGGATTGCGGTCGAGAAATCCTGAATAGAGCGCAATTTAGGCCGACCCGGGCCCTTCCGTTCAGATATATCGGCGATGGCATTAAAATCACCGCCAATCAGCCAGGGGGATCCCAGTGACGAAATCGCGGTGTCATGTAAGAAAGACCAAAGCTCGCGGCGCTGGGTGATAGAACACCTCGCATATATGCCAGATAAAAGAAAAGGCCGGCGAATCTGTGGGGATGATACCTGCACATGAAGACACTGATCGATCTCCGATATAGGCGCCAGTGTATAAGAATCATCAGCAAGAATCCAGATAGAATTAGCCGTGTTGGTTAGCATCTGAGAGAAACCAAACCGCCGGCAGAGAAGAAAGCAGTGTCCGCCAGAACCATGGGTTCAAGGATGATGAGAAGGCGGATACGGTGTTGCTTACAGAGCCAATGTACCTCCCGTTGAGCCCTGGGGTTACCAATTCCTCGAACATTCCAGACCAGAATGTAGGTGTCTGTCATCGAGTACTAGCAGAAGGGCGACGAGAGGAACTTACTTGCTGACGAGAGATGCTGCGGGTGATCGGCCTAGAGAAGGTTGGCGGCAGAGCCTGTGGCCGGTCATCCGACACTGTCTCCAAGGATCCGCTGAGAGACGGAGGATCAGCAGCCTGGTTCAAAACGCACACCCCTCTGCTCGGATGCGACTCCGTCGACAGAGCGACAACAGGGAGCGGTTCCGACGAAGTCCGCAGGAGGGGTGGGTTCGGACCAGATTCAGGGAGGAGCGCTGTCCCTGTAGTTGCATCAGCAGGGAGATCACAAGAGTGAAGATCAGTGGTACCTCTCGGGGAGAGAGACAGTGAATCAATGAGGGGCGGTTGGCCATCCTTAATAAGGGGCGAGTCACCATCCGAGTCCTCGGCGAAAGTGGCATGAAGTGCAGAGTCCTCATCCCGCTGGGTGTCCGAGGAAGGAGAACCCGTGGCCGATAGGCATGTGTCCACTGAAAGATCACGTCGATCGCAGATAGGTGATGCAGGGGGGTCCGAGAGCAGCACTGCCTTCCCCTTATCCAGGCCATGACCAGAGGGGAGTCCCCAGATTGCCAAAGACTGAGCAGGAGGAAGCGACACAGGCTCCGGGGGTACCTGCATATCATCAGGAAGCAGTGGTAAAGGCGGCGAGGGTACCTGATCGTCCAAAGGGGGCTGCAGAAAGAGACCGAGGGCTGGAGCGGTGGCAGGAGTCGCTGGAGTGGGACTCAGCCGACAGTCGTCCAGCGGGGAAGCAGGACTGTCGATCGGGGGCTCAGCTGTAGTCTGTCCAGCCAGAGGGCGGACCGGAGAGGTTTCCGAAGGCGCCCGGAAGTCCCCAAAAGTAACTCGAACACCAGAGGTAAGCAGGATCGCAGAGGCATCCCCCGTGAGTGGGCAAAGGTCACCCGAGGAGGAGCGTGGGGGCGATGAGCCTCCGCAGGGCCGCTGAGATGCGCCGGTATTACCTGCTGTGAATTCCTGGCCGTCTGTCTGTGATGGATTTGGGGCCACTTGTGTCTCCCCAAAGGACACCCGTACACCTGAACGAAGGCGTCTGGAACCGTTCAACTCCGGTATGTCATCAGAAGGTCTCCGGGTAGAAGGCTGGGGGTCCTGGCGGAGGGGCCGAAGAGGAGCCTGCAAGGAGCCAGAATCATTAGTGATACCAGTAGAAGGCGTACCCCGATTTCGATTGCGGCGCCGACGACGGCGTCGAGCAGTGGGGGGCCGGGATTCCATGATATCACCAGAGGCAGGGGCCGCAGAGATCTCAGAAGGGCCATGCACCGAGTCATGGCGGACCAGAAGGCGCAGCAGGAGGATCCTGCGCAGCTGATACGGTACGGTCGTGGTACCGGCTGCGAAGAAGGTCTGCGTAAACAAGCCTCTGCTTTATGTCCGAGATGGCGGCAGGCAGAGTGAGCAGAAACTAGGTAGACGCTCATAGATGACCTTCTGCTCGAGCACACCAGTACCCACATCAATCTCGAAGGCATGCAGGAGGGGCTTCGTAAGGTCAATTTCCACACAGACTCTGGCGTGGGAGCACCGACTCCGAGTCGCCGTAGGGGTATCAACCTTCAGAGGGGTCCCAATGCCAGCAGCAACCGTGAATAAAAGATCTCTGTGATACATGTGGAGAGGAAGTAGTGGGAGCGTAACCCACACCGGAACATGTGGGGGTTCCTCGGTAGTTTTGAAATCGGGGGTCCATTTGAGAACTCTCATCGGGAATCCCTTGATGAACCAAGTTCCTCGAATCCAAAGTCGCATATAATCAGCCTCGGTAGTGAGGCGAATCACAATATGGCGGTGATTAAGATGCTGCAAAACAAACTTCCCCGCCAAACAGAAACTCGCAAAACCCTCGGTAAGATCTTCCAAGAAGAGTACCCATGAGAGAATTTACCGATAAGAATGTACGGGTGCGAGGCTGTGTACCTTGCTGTTTCGTCAGCAGAAAAAAGCAAGGCGCGGCTGTCCAGCAGTAGTAGAAATCCATTGTCCAATAGCAGTCGGACGAGGCTCCGCCAGAAAAGAGTAAGGACTGTCCTCAGGAATCACGGAGTTGGGTCCGGAGGTGGTGACAGCATTGGCAAAAGACTTATGGGAATGGAGATGGTTAGTAGCAGAGGTGAGGCGTACCGAACCATCAGTTTGGGGAGGTTGCTGGCGGCCGGCAGCAGCCTGAGCGGCCATATCCGGCAATTCCACGGCAGAACCCTAGCTCCGGAAGGAGTCGGCGGCTGTCATCGGAGACGGTGGTAAAGGATGGGGTGCTGGGGCTGCCAGGGCCCAGAGAATCAACAGGGCCGTCAGACACAGTTCAGGCACTGAACCCGCGTCTGGGGGCTTCTGGGTCGGGAGACACAGTGGCGGGACCAGGAGGGTGGTCTGGCGTCAGGGTCGGGCGGAGAAGTAGCGGGGCGTCGTGTCGGGATGACAAAACGTCGGGGTCAGTGACCGCCGCGACACCTGGGCCCCAGTCGGGAAGTGTTCTGGCGTCGGGGCACCGACTGGGGGTTGGCGGGGGTCGGGGAGAAAAGTGGTGGCACCGAGTCGGGACAAACCGTCGGGACCAGTGACAACCACGAACCCTGGGCCTCGGGGGGAGTGTGGTCGGGCAGCGAAGACGGTCGGAGAGGCGCTGAGTCGGGGCAACCTTCGGGACCGGAGGAGACAGCCTCGGTCGGGCCAAGGTCGGGATCAACCTTCGGGAGCAGAGACGGCCTCGGTCGGGCCTCGGTCGGGATCAACCGTCGAGACCAGAGACGACCTCGGTCGGGCCGCGGTCGGGATCAACCTTCGGGACCAGAGACGGCCTCGGTCGGGCCTCGATCGGGATCAACCGTCGGGACCAGAGACGGCCTCGGTCGGGCCTCGGCCGGGAGGGAGCAACCTACGGGACCAGAGACGGCCTCGGTCGGGACTCGGTCGGAGATCACCCGTCGGGGAGAGAAACAGCAGTCGCGATCCCTGGCCTCAGTCGGGGGATGCTCTGGCGTCAAGGAGCACCGACCAAGGTGTATGTCGGGGTCGGGTGGAACAGTATCGGGACCAGAGAGTTGGTCGGGCAGCGGAGTCGGCGGAATATGCAGAGGCGGCGTCTCGGGAACTCAACCGTCAGGAGGCCAACCGTCGGGAGATCAACTGTCGGGGAGGTCGGTCAACGTCGGGAGGAGGGCAACCGTCGGGGGAGTCACCGGCGGTTCCCAACGGTGTATTCCGGCGGTCGGGTGGCGGGTTCAGGGACTCCTCAACCCTGCGAGGACAGTGACGGTGGCGATTGACGATCCGACGTCGGAGACGGGAGAGAACGGCGGCGCCGAAGGTGTCGCAAATCAGGGCTACGGCGACGGCGACCTAGGGCAACGGCGGACAGTGGTGTAGAGGTGGCGACTCGCGGCGGTAGCCCGGCCCTGGGGGTTTTCCGGCCTGGGGAACACGATCCCGTCGTCAGAATGGGTGGTCCGACGGCGGGGGGATGCCGAAACGCGGCGGTGGCGACGGTGCGGGGAGGCCAACCGTCAGGGGCGGAGCCGGCGGCGTATTCCGGCGATCGAGGGGTGGATTCGGGGACACCTCAGCCCTGCGAGTTCAGTGACGGTGGCCAAACGGCGATCCAACGCCGGGTTGAGAGATACCGGCGCTGAAAGTATCGCCGCGCAGGGCAGAGAGTAGTAGCGGCCGACGGGCTTGCAGCGGTTTCCGGCGGTGGTTGGTGGGGAGGGGGGGTTATGGAGGATGGCGACCACGATGGTGATGAGGCGCCGGGCTGAAAACGCCGGCAGCGGCGAGTCGCCGGTGACGTCGTTTCGGGGCTGACGAGAGCGGCGGCTGGGGGCGGTTCCGGCGACGGGGCTCGGTGTAGGGGGGGGTTTTCGGGGATGGCGAGTCGAGTGACGGTGGCAGATTGGCCGTCCGGCGTCGGATCCGCCGGAACAGCGACGGCAGTGGCTGGAGGCGTGAAATCGCCCAAGGGCTGGAGAGCGT